AGAGGGGAATTCCAGCTGAGTTTCTTCTAGAGCCGCCCAAAGGCAAGGGGCCGCTGCGGGTGCAAGGGTGCATCGTGCACCACGCGCTCACCCCCGCACCCGCTGCGGCTCTGCAAATTCGGCTCCTGCACAGGAGCCCCGGGAGCACGAGGAGCCCGGCCAGGGCCGGCGGGAGAGGAAAGGGGCCCGTCCTGCGGTTCAGATCTCTGCTGCGAAAAGAAACCGAAACAAAGACTTTTAAAGGCGGAGAACCCAGACTCAGGCGTTTTCTGAGACTTCTGTACACGTTGCTTCAGCTTTCGGTGAGCAGATTTGGGCTGGGGAGGGCTAAAGACAGGAAGGAAATAATTAAAGTATTTTATAACACCCAAAAAAGATTATTTTCAGGTTGTGCTGCAAGTCTTTTCACACAGTTCTCCACAGGCGGTGCCCAAAAGGGAAACCAACAGGCCTTGATGCCAGGATGGTGCCAGCTCCCAGAGCCCACGGACTCCAGGACATCCCAGTTACCCCAGCAGCTCTCTGGGCTGGTTGCACAGTCAGGCCCAGCCTCGGTGGGAGATCCCAGTCCAACCCCAGGAACTCACCCACCGGTTTTGCCCTGTAACAGAGCTCAGCTCCTTTCAGACCCCCTTATCCCTTCTTTTGCTGTCCTTTTAAATTTTATAGCGTAGTTCCTTTCCCTGGTTGCCCCAAACAGCAGGTTTTATCCTCCCTGTCTCAAGGCTGACACCCAAATCCCGTCTGACCTGCTCAGACCATTCACGTCCATGGTCAGAAACCAGTAAATCCCACTTAGCACCAAACACGCAGCGAGACCCCGGGGCCGTGACGTGCCCACGGGGGATAAACCCTGCGTGTGATGTGAGTGCCGGTCTCGCACAGGCTGGGAGAGCAAAAACACGGCCTTGAAACCAAGTTTGTGATAAAAATAATTGTTCCAGCTGGTGGCAGCAAAGCCCAAAAAATAAAGGCCAAGCAGCGTGCTCTGCTGTCAGCAGGCACCTTGTCCTTGGGGGGCTTGGGACAGAAAACCGGGGTACAGGCCGGGG